CACCTGGCCTCATATTTGTTTTTTATTGAAAGTCAAGGCTATATAGTCTGGGTAGAGAATGTTGCTGAGTGAACCTGGAAGAAATCATCTGAAGCAAGCACTATATGATTTATTGCATAACACAAAATGGATATGTAGTATTTTGTTCATACATCTACCTAATGCTTCCTTAAGGATGCCTCAGATCTTTCTGCCATAAGCCTTTAAAATGAAAGGCAATATACAAAGGTAGAATATGATGCTCATCATCATAGTAGAACCAACAGGAAAGGTGGCAGCTTAAAAAGGAGTGAGTATTATTCCAAGAAAGAAACAGGCCCGTACACAAACAACTGCAAATATGTTGTGGTGACTTCACTAAGAAATTAGACTTAATTTAAAAAGTAATAATGATCTGTATTCATTTCAATCTAAACAATCCAGAGTTTTACCAATTTATTTCAGAGAAACATGTACAATACTATTGCCCTCATCCCAAAATATATACAGAGCTCTTATCATGTGCATGGCATAATGAAAAGCAACAATATTCTATTTTAAGGAATTAGGTGCCTCTTGTAGTCTAAAGGTCAGATCTATAAATACTGTTCTCTATTTGGGCTTTCCAATTTCCCTCTGGTCTGAAGAACAGATCTCTCCCTCGAGAAGTTCAGCCTCTCAAACAATGTCAGGCACATTATAGGACTCAGGAAAGATGTGTTGAATGAATGAATTAATGAATGAGTGAGTGAAAGAATGAATGAATGGGCTCATAAACAGGGTGCCTGTCACTTCAACAAACAAATGTCTCAACGTAGAACCACAAGCAGTGGTGTCTGCCTGTAGGCCCAGCTACTCGGGAGGCTGAAGTGGGAGGATTGCCTGAGCCCAGTAGTTTGAGGCTATAGTGCACTATGATTGCACTTGTGAATAGCCACTGCACTCCAGCCTGAGACATATTTTAAAAAGAAAAAAATGTATAAACACAGACATTCCATCCTCATTCAGGAAAAACTCAGAATGGAACTTCAGGCAGATAATGAAAAGCCACACATTCTACCAGTTGCTTTAACTACACGGTTTCCCCTTCCAAACCTGGATTTCTTATGGTCTTTACATCAAAAGTAGAAGTGAAAGGGGATTCTCCATGGTTGTGTGCGCCTTTTGAATGATAAATAGTCAATCGTTTTAAGGCAGTGTGTACAGGGGTGACTGATTCTGGAGAGCGGGATTTGTTGAGGAAGGTTTGTATGAGGAGCCCAAGGCAAGGATAGCGTGGGGTAGCGAAGGATGTCTACTGAGGGTAGAAATAGGAAAGGAGAAATCAATGCAGGAAAAACAGGAGCTCTGTGTGTGTGTGTACGTGCACATTTCACACGTGCATAAAAGTAAAATACGCAAATATATATGGTTTGAATCGGATCCACAAATAAGCACTAAAATGCACCAGCTACCAAAGAGATGTTCACAGCGCCTCTCGGTCAAACGATTAAACAAATAGACTGACAGCAACTGTGGGAAAGATGTTTTAGCCTTTGAGCTCTACAACTTTATATCAAGCTGGTCCAACCACTCTAAGGCACTAAGGGAAAAGATGAAAAAAATAGCATTCTTTGTCCTTATAATTGATGAGATAAAAATACTACCAGGAAGGCTTTCTGTCCGCAGGAACAAACTTAAACTGGTTAACTTGAAAAGGAAACATTCAAAAATAGATCATATTAATATGTGGTGTTAGAATTAGGGTAGTGGTGGCCAGGCACAATGGCCACACCTGTAATCCCAGCATTTTGGGAGGCCGAGGCAGGCGGATTACTTGAGGCCAGGAGTTTGAGACCAGCCTGCCCAACATGGTGAAACCCCGTCTCTACTAAAAATACAAAAATTAGCCAGGTGTGGTGGTATGCACCTGTAATTTCAGCTACTCAAGAGACTGAGGCACAAGACTCACTCGAACCTGGGGGGCGGAGGTTGCAGTGAGCCAAGATCGAACCACTGCACTCCAGTCTGGTGACAGAGTGAGACTCTGCCTCAAAAAAAAAAAAAAAAAAAAAAAGAAGAAGAATTAGGATAATGGTTACATTGGGTGGGGAGTGACCAAAAGGGTCCAAAGAGGGGACTTCTGGGATGACAGTAATGTTTGGTTTCTTGACCTAGGGACATGGTGTGTTGATGAGTGAGAAAATTCATCCCACTCTGTACTTAATGATCTGTATATATTTCTATATGAATATCGCACTTTAGTTCACTCAAAATGCCTACATAGACATTTCTTTTGTTTTGTTTTGTTTTGAGATAGGGTCTCACTCTGTCACCCAAAGGAGTGCAGTGGCACAATCACAGCTCACTGAAGCCTCAACCTCTCTGGGCTCAGGTGATCCCTCCTACCTCAGCCTCCCAAGGAGCTGGGACTACAGGTGACTGCCAGCACATCTGGCTAATTTTTGTATTGTTTGTAGAGATAGGCTTTTGCCATATTGCCCAGGCTGGTCTCAAACTCCTGGACTCAAGTGATCCTCTCACCTCGGCCTCCCAAAGTGCTTGGATTACAGGCATGAGCCACCACGCCCAGTGCTATCTAGAAATTTCAAGATTATTTCATTGGCAATTGAATCTCTATAAAAACATAAGCAATTTCAAAACTTATATATATATATATATATTTTCTTTAACAAGGGTGGTGATGGATAGAATTCTAGCAATGAAGAGAAAGAGAGCCTATTCATAAGTCAAGTGTTTGGAGCTACCAAGGGAGCTGAGACATTAGTCCTACATAATTATTAAAGGAAATATTGGGCTACACTTACTATAGAGCCCAAACTGATGGGCCAGATAAAAGTCTAGGCTCTCTGCAGGTCATACAGTCATCTAGCCTGTACTTTCCTAATTGTTTTCTTCTCTGGTATTACTAAAGGCTTATTAACCTGCTAGTAAACAATGAACACAGATTAGTGGTCATTAATCAAAGTCACGGGTCACCTAATAGGGATGGCTCAGTGAGTAGTTTCTGTTGGTCTTATGTAGTGCCTGATGGACCATCAGGGATGACCAGGTCCAATATGGCTGTGTCACAACCCTATTCTCTCAGGAGGAAATGAGAGATATATGGTGTTAGAATTCCTTTCACTTTCCACCTCACCCTTTATGGATAAAGGAGGCCAATACAACGTGGGCCCGCCGGGGTCCTGTATTCTTACCCTGTCAGATTTTGACTCCTGCCTCTCATGTGAGGTATTCCACCAAGGATCCCCTCCCTCATTGACATGAGCAGACAGGAACATGAGGGCTATTGGTTCCCAAGCTCCTCACCATCAACATCGCCTTTTTCCCCTGTTTTCTCCAACTTTGAGAATTGGGAGCTCAGGCATGATGGCTCATTTCTGTAATCTCAGCACTTTGGGAGGTCAAGGTGGGAGGATTCCTTGAGCTCAGGAGTTTGAGGCCAGCCTGGGCAACGCAGTAAGACTCCATCTCTGTAAAATTAATAAAAATAAAAAATAAAAAGAATTGGGAGAAGTGACTGGTAATTTATCCTTATGAAAAGAAAATCCCCCAACGTATTCTTAATCATTTTTCATATTCAGAAGTAAAAAATCTGTCAGCATCACGATGACGGGTGGAATTTTCAGGTCGAGGGTATGAGCATTCCACAGAAATGTACTTACTCCCACTTCAACAGGGACAGTTACAGCTCTATCCCTATGAAATATCAGGATTCTGTGCAAGATTGCACAAGTAAAAAGGAGTTTTGATGCTTTTAAGAAGTTTTAAGGGTCCCAGCAGCTTAGGGGTGGTAAGAATAGCAGCCAGTGCAGCTCTGCAGAGGCCCTCACAGTGCCATCCTGGAACACGGCCTCCGCCAGGAAGCCGGGGAAAAGGAGCGGTTCAGTTCAAGAGACAGTCACGGAGAGATCAGCAGGATGGTATCCAAACCTGCTCCTGCAGATGCTGGAACTGATTTTAAAATATGCAAATAATAAAAGTGAGAAAGTGTAAACAAAAGGGAAAGGAGGAGCAAAACTATGACATCAGACTCACCTGCAGAAAATGAAGATGCTAAAACCAGAAGAGGCCAGACTCTGGTGAAGCAGGAGAGAAAGCAGCCAAATCTGGTGAGTATCCTCAACCGAGTACCCTTGATTATCTCAGCATTGCCTTCTTGCAGACACCAGAAGAGCCATTTTACCAACTATTTTGTAAATGCAAGTTTTTAGTAGTTCTAGAAACACACTTGTAAGAAGCAGGAAACCTACCCCATCCCTTAAAAAAAAAATTGTTTTTGATAAGTGTAAATACTTTTTTAAAGAAATAAGCTCATGGCCTGGCGTTAGATTTCTTTTTCTTTTATTTAATGCCCCTTCCCCACCCTGGTTGTATATTTTTCTATATACATCATACATTTTTCGATTTAGCTATTCATAGAATAAGTGGAAATCAAGTTAAGGGAGATATTGACTATAGTCTGTGGATGGGGGAGGGGAGGTGGTGGAAACTGTGCTGGTAGTTTCCAACATCCCATAACCAGAAGCACAATCAGGCCGGGTGTGGTGGTGCATGTCTCTAATCCCAGACCTTTGGGAGGCCGAGGCTGGTGGATCACTTGAGCCCAGGGGTTTGGGACCAGCCTGGGCAGCAAAGAGAAACCCTGTCTCTACTAAAAATAGAAAAATTAACCGGGCGTGGTGGTGCACGCCTATAGTCCCAGCTACTTGAGAGAATCACTCAAGCCCAGGATGCAGAGGTTGCAGTGAGCTGAGATGCACCAGGTCGCTGCATTCCAGCCTGGGCCACAGAGGGAAACCCTGTCTCAAAAAAAAAAAAAAAAAAGTAGCACAATCAAATGGCAATTTAAAGTCGTGATCATGCAATTAACTTGTAAGCATTTTATACTGCTTAGCTTTGTTCCCTTGTCTTTTACTAAAATTATTTATAAAACTATTCCCTGATCTGGATTCCCTGACGGACTTGGGTGTCCTCCATGACACCTTTGTTCCTGGTAATCCAATTTTTCCTAATAATTTTATCAATGTGTTGTGAAAGATTGGACAGGTTTGAGCATGTAGTATCTATATTAAATCGTGAATTAGTCAAATTTTAGACCAAACAAATTTTCAATGTTTTAAGATAATGGCATTTGAATACCTCTTTCTAAAAAAAAAAAAAAAATTTGTCTCCAAATTGTAAGCTAAAAAGTCAATAGAATAACTGTTTGGAAAAGAATTACAGTTGCATAGCTTTTTAAATTTTCAGTACTCGCCGTTAAGAACTATATACAGGGTTTCTGCAGAGGCTGTGACAGAAACCAAGGCAGCGGGAGTCCCGTTTGGGATTGCCAGCCTGCGTGTGTGAGTCTGAGTACGTGAGCAGCCGTGGCGCCCCAGGTCCTCGTCAGCATATCATCCCGGCAGGAGATAAACTACATTCAGTTAAGTCTGCAAGACTGGAAGGAATTGGGGTGATAAGAAATTGATTCACTGTTGGCGGGACATGGCGGCTCTCACCTGTAATCCCAGCACTTTGGAAGGCTGAGGCGGGCAGACCACCTGAGGTCAGGAGTTTGAGACCAGCCTGACCAACATGGAGAAACCCCGTCTCTACTAAAAACGCAAAATTAGCCAGGTGTGGTGGCGCATGCCTGTAATCCCAGCTACTTGGGAGGCTGAGGCAGGAGAATCACTTGAACCCCTGGAGGTGGAGGTTTGCAGTGAGCCGAGATCATGCCATTGCACTCCAGCCTGGGCAACAAGAGCAAAACTCCGTCTCAAAAAAAATAAAAAATAATTTTAAAAAAGTGATTCACTTTCAAGGTTTATTAAAGTCAAAATATATTTAAAAATCAGTGGCAGTTCTGTGGTAGAGATTCAAGGAGATGAAATGACACAAATCATTTGGGAATTGATTCAAGAGAAACTCATTTTTCCCTATGTGGAACTGGATCTACATAGCTATGATTTAGGCATAGAGAATCATGATACCACCAACCACCAGGTCACCACGGATGCTGCAGAAGCTATAAAAAAGTATAACATTGGTGTCAAGTGTGCCACTGTCATCCCTGATGAGAAAAGGGTTGAGGAGTTCAAGTTGAAACAAATGTGGAAAGCGCTAAATGGCACCATCCAAAATATTATTCTGGGTGGCACAGTCTTCAGAAAAGCCATTATCTGCAAAAATATCCGCCAGCTTATGAGTGGATGGGTAAAACCCACCATCGCAGGTCGTCATGCTTATGGGGATCAATACAGAGCAACTTATTTTGTTGTTCCTGGGCCTGGAAAAGTAGAGCTAACCTACATACTAAGTGACAGCACCCAAAAGGTGACATACCTGGTACATAACTTGGAAGAGGATGATAGTGTTGCCATGGGGATGTATAATCCAGATAAGTCAATTACAGATTTTGCACACAGTTCCTTCCAAATGGCTCTAAGGGTTGGCCTTTGTATCTGAGCACTAAAACACTATTTTGAAGAAATATGATGAACGTTTTAAAGACATCTTTTAGGAGATATATGACAAGCAGTACAAGTCCCAATTTGAAGCCCAAAAGATCTTGTATGAGCATAGGCTCATCGATGACATGGTGGTCCAAGCTATGAAATCAGAAGGAGGCTTCATCTGGGCCTCTAAAAAGTATACTGGTGACATGCAGTCAGACTCTGTGGCTCAAGGGTATGTCTCTCTTGGCATGATGACCAGTGTGCTGGTGTGTCCACAAGGTAAGACAGTAGAAGCAGTGGCTGCCCACTGGACTGTAACCTGTCACTACCGCATGTCCCAGAAAGGCCAGGAGATGTCCATCAATCCCATTGCTTCTATTTTTGCCTGTACCAGAGGGTTGGCCCTCAGAGCAAATATTGATAACGATAAAGAGCTTGGCTTCTTTGCAAATGCTTTGGAAGAAGTCTGTATTGAGACAATTGAGGCTGGTTTCATGACCGAGGACTTGGCTGCTAGCATTAAAGGTTTACCCAGTGTGCAATGTTCTGACTACTTGAATATGTTTGAGTTCATGGACAAACTTGGAGAAAACTTGAAGATCAAACTGGCTCAGGCCAAACTTGAAATTCATACCTGGGCTGAGGAGGATAAGTATCTTTTGGCAACTAGGTCTACAGGTTTACATTTTTCTGTGTCACACTCAAGGCTAAAGGCAAAATCTATTTTGTAATTTGTTTAGAAGCCGGAGTTTATCTTTTCTATAAGTTTATAGTCTTTTTCTTATATATAGTTATTGCCGCCTTTGTGAATGTGGCAAGGGACTTTAAATTTTATTTTCTGGTAGCAGCCTAGGAATTTGGTTAGTACTCATTTGTATTCACTGTCACTGTTTCTCATGTTCTATTATAAATGACCAAAATCAAGAGTGCTCAAAAGGGTCAATGATAGCCACAGTATTTTTCCCTAGAATATGCATAAAGTAGAAATGTACACCCTTCTTCTCCTGTCCATGACCTTGGGCACGGGGAGGTTTTGTTGTTAAAGATGTCCCATTATGTGATGTAGAGCTGTACATTAAACTTGCACATGACTGGAACAAACTATGAATACAATTAAAATGTGTTGAAGATACTGCAGTTATTTTTGTAAAGAGCTTGCTGAATGTTTCCAATAGACTAAGTATTTTTCAGGCCACAGGAGAGTTTGGCATCTGGGATAAATACTACCTGGAGGTGTGGAAAAAAAATAAAACAACTATATACATTATATGTATATAGTTGCATATGTATATGAATCATTAGGTCTATGTACTGATCACTAAGACAAACAAACAAACAAACAAAAAAACAGTAAAATATCAATTAAGGTAGAAAAAAAGTCTAAAAACAGTAGGTATAGTAGAAAGAGCACTGGATTTTTAGGCAGGTAGACAGGACTCCCAACCCAGAGAAGTTCTGTGATTTGTGCGACATTGCAGAGCAAACGTTACATGGCAAAGCCAAGACTTGACCCACACCTTCGGGTTCTCAGCCCTGCTGTTACCATTACCCAACACGGCCGCTCAGAGGTAACTCTTCATCCTACAGCTATGCGTGGCTTGCAAAGCCAAAGAGCCAGAAACGGGTTCAACTCCAGATTTTCTCATTCGCTAGATTGCCTGTGGCAATGATTCTCAATACTTGCCATGTACCGGATTATATGAAGGAGCTGTGGAAAACATACAGTTGCCCAGATCCCTCTTCCAAAGATTCTGACTCATTTGTTCTGGGGTGCGGCCCAGGTAGTTTAATTTATTTAAAAAATGTCCCTGGATGATTCTCATATGCAGTCAATTTGATGAGAATCATTGTTTTCTGGCACTGGTTCTCAACCCTGGCTGCACATTAAAATCACCCAGGGAATTTTGAAAACTACAGGCCTAAGTCCCATCCTCAGAAACAGTCAATCACCTGGTCTGGGTGTATCCTGGGCCCTGGCCTTTGCAAAAGCTTTCCAGGTGATGCTAATGTGTAGCAGGTATGAGAACCATTGCTCACAGGCTCCCCAAACCATGCATCCTTAGTCTAAAATCATCTCTCAGGGAAGGGCCTGACCATCAGTATTCTGAAAAGTCTAGCACTGTCAGTGTTCAGTAAGTGCTTGTTGAAAGAATTGCCTCATGAGAATCAATGTCTATTGACAGGTGAGAAGAAAAGGGCAAGTTTAAGAAATAATGAGCATTTAATATGAAAATGTCCTGAGGGGGGCTTATGTAGTTAGTTAAGCAAATATTATGACAATACGCAGATTATCTTACGAACACAAAGGTGGCCTTCTCAAGTAATTGAGGCTGCTATCCTAAACCTGGGATAGTCTCATGTAGGGTAAACACACCTGGTAGCAATTATTTAAGCATACTCTGAGAATGACCCTGGATGGCAGATGCATCTAAATGTGTGTTCCAATCTAGGGAACCCAAGTAGCTAACCCGGAAGTTCGTTCCTTTTCTATGATAAACATCTGAACCCCTGGCATGTTCCATGGAACACAGGCTGTACATCGAGGACCTGAGTTTTGGGTTAAACGAAGGTTGCCAGGTGGAGGTCGTCACAGGGAGGGTGTTAAGTGGAAATGCTATAAAAACTTCATGCTGTTTGCAGGCAGCTGCAGTTTTCCTGCCCAACCCACTGCCACTGGGCTACGTGGTTGTGTTGTCCAGCCTGCCACTGCCGGACTCTCTCCCCTGTATGTAACCCCCTAATAAAACCCCGTGTCTCATTTGCCAGCTCTTGGTCTCTTCTTTGGCCTCTTGAACCTGGTACCTTCCCTATTGAGATTAATAGGAGTTTGGCACAACACCTTATCCCCAAGAATATTGTGAGAGTGAGAATCAGCAAATTCTACCTACCTTAACTAATCCCTACCTCGGACAGAGCCATTCTTTACTGAATCCAACAGCAGTCTCAGCACATGGCATCTGGAACACCAGATAATTCTCTTACCAAACGCTGTTTCCAGTATATAATGAAGGCCATGACCCACCAGTGGGAATTGACACTATGGAAGAGCTATTTGCCTTCACGGATATGAGCAGACTAGGAAAAGAAAAATGATTCCCCCTTTCAACTTATTTAACAAGAATGTTAACTGACAAAGTAGAATAGCAAAGCGCCTCTGTGGCATAATCCCACATTTGTAATAAACGTGACCTGGAAGAAATTTACCAAAATATGAACAGAGCTCATGTTTATCTTTGGATAGAGAGATTATGGTGATTTTTATGTTTTCCTTTACACTTTTCTGTTTTCTGAATGTTTTGCCTAGTACAGATATTACTTTTAATAAGAAAAAAAAACACTACCCTTTAAAAATTGTGGGTGTGTGTGTATGTGTATGTGTGTGTGTACAGAAGGTGGGTTAAAAAAAATTTACGGTGCTCAAGTCTGGGGAATGACTCTCGGAGGCATTTCTAAATCTGCTGGCACTTAGACAAGGAGGAGCAGGTTTGTCCGACAGCTTGAAAGCTCAGCAGATCCATTAGCGCTTTCGTCAGCAGGTGGAGATTTTGCAAGCCTGGTGTGGAGCTTGCCAGCCTCAGCAAAGTTGGTATCAGCCAGGTGACCAATAAAGATGAAGTTCCAGCAACCTCTGTCTGTCCACTTGGTGCCCAGCCTGATGCAAATGAATGGATTTGAACACTCTTGATGTCAGACTGCTGTTGATTGATAATGTTAAATACATGGAGAAGACACGAGGAGAAACTATTCAGAAAGATTCATGGTATAAACCACCAGGTTCCAATACTTGACTAAAGCTGCTCTCAATGTTTATAAATCTATTTGGTTTGGAAGTCAGATGCAAATGGCATATGGACGAATCTTTTAGAGAAAATTTAGCTGAACTTATGTGCTTGGCTTACGTGAGAAGCCCAGTGAGTATCACAGACCAGTAGGAGCTCCCAGATAAAACCTCAAATCCAGTAGCAATGTCCTCTTACCTTCAGCAACAAGGCTGTCTTTCCTCAGAAACTTCCAACTCTTCATAACCATCTATAAGACTACTTCTTTCAAACTTTCATGGTCTGGTGCAGTGGCTCATGCCTGTGATCCCAGCATTTTGGGAGGCCGAGGTGGGAGGATTGCTTGCATCCAGGAGTTCAAGACTAGCCTGGGCGGCATTAGCCAAACCCTGTCTCTACAAAAAAATAAAAAAATTAGCCAGGTGTGCTGGTGAATGCCTGCAGTCCCAGCTACTCAGGAGGCTGAGATGGGAGGATTGCTTGAGCCTGGGAGGTCAAGGATGCAGTGAGCTATGATTGCAGCATTACACTCAGCCTGGGCAACAGGGTGAGACTCTGTCTCAAAAAAACAAACCCAAACCCTGATGCTCAATCTCTTTTTGCTATGAACTTCTTCCACCTCTTTCCTGAATTTTCCACTTTTCCTCTGTTGCGTGGCACAGATATTCTTCCTTCATTACTTTCCTGAAGCAAAATTTTCCCTTAATATCCTCAACCTCAATACCCATCAACACCCCTCCAGTGTCCTCGAACACCCATCCCATCTCACCACCATCAGAAAGCCTTACAATCAGGAAGCTTTATTTTCTGCTTAACTTAAATGTCATCTATTATAAATTGAATTGTAAATAACTTGAGGGAAGTCGTCTATTTATCAATCTTTGCATCCCTCCAAAAGCACGTAGGCTCCTATAAATTTGTAGAACAAATGAGTTTCCTCTGAAAGAACAGTGGTAGCACTTTATAATGATATCATACATTTGTTTATATAGAGCCATTTTCAAAGCATATGAGCCTTGCAGCTGCAAATGGAATCCATAGAACTGCAAAATTAATATCTTCTTGGAGTTACTTAGGAAACAGATATCTTGGCCTCCTGCTCCCTTCTGCTCCCCGCTTCCCTTATACACACCGACGGAACTGGAATCTGAGTTTTAATAAAATCCCAGGCCATTCCTTTGGCATTCAAGGTTGAGAACCATTGGTGTAGACTAGAGCCTTGGCTCTCAACCTTGGCTGCGCATTGGAATCATATAAAAAACCCTAAAAATACAGATGCCTGAGCTCCAGCCCTCTTCTGCCCATCCTGATTTAATCAATCCCCCCTGAGCAATAGGATTCTTCTTCTTTTTTTGAGACAGGGTCTTGCTCTGTTACCCAGGCTGGCGTGCAATGGCGCTGCAGCCTCGGTCTCCCCAGGCTCAGGCCATCCTCCTACCTCATCCTCCCAAGTAGCTGGGACTACAGATACACACCACCACGCCCAGCTAATTTTTATATTTTTTGTCGCCCAGGCTGGTCTTGAACTCCTGGGCTCAAGCGATCCGCCCACCTCAGTCTCCCAAACTACTGAGATTACAGGTGTGAGCCACCACACCCTGGCCAACAATAGGATTCTTAGAGCCCCAGTGAGCTGCCAGGGAAGAGAACCACTGTGAGTGTCTTCATGGGAACTCCCCACATCTCCTACAATATTTTGTGAGTCCAGTGTGTCGCCTCTATAGTGATTTCCTTTTTTTTTTTCCCCATGCAACTTTTCCTTAAGATTGTATTACTTCTCATCTTCCATAAAAATATCACTCAGTTTTATTTCTCAGTAGACATTCATTGAGCACCTAGGATTTGCACAAACACAAAACCCGTTCTTAAGCTTCCTTTCACAGTAAATTATCTAAATTACCTTTCTTGGGCTCTTTCTCCACTAACGCTGTTTTCTAATTTTATAAGCATTCTTTGGTACCGGTATAATTTTGGCTTGTCATTTCCAGAGTAGAGGAAAAGAAAATTAAATTTATTTTGTTTAGTTTTAAAACAACCTACAGATTATTTTAAGCCACAGAGATACAAAAGTTGGTTATATTTAAAAGCAAACAGACCTAGTTCTTTAACTTTGATCAATATACTATGTTTCAGTTTCTCATCCAAACTGTAACAGCTAAGACTTCCAGAGGGCTTGCAATGCCCTGACAGGTGCTAAGTGTTTTACCTCTATTCTCTCACTTGATCGACCCGACATTGCTATGAGGTACATTCTATTGTTATCTCTATTTTTTGGATGAAAAAACAGCAGCACAAAGAAGTTCAGTAACTGGCCTAAGGCCACACAGCTTGTCTTCCTGAAGATGGGATCCAAACCCAGGCAGTCATAGAACATGCTGGTCACTATTGGGCCACTTGCTCTATGGGGGACGGTGCTCCAGGAACACAGAGATGCGGATTAGGATTCCAGGACC